CTCCAGAAGATAACATAGGAGAAAATCTAGATGATGTTGGCTGTGGTGATCACTTTTTAGATATAACACCAAAGGCATGAAAGACATAATTGATAAACTGGATTTTATTACAATATAAAAATTTCTGAAAAAAAAATAAAATAAAATAAAAAAAGTTCTGGGATGCCTAGGTGGCTCAGCGGTTGAGTGCCTGCCTTTGGCCCAGGGCGTGATCCTGGAGCCCTGGGATCGAGTCCCATATCGGGCTCCCTGCATGGAGCCTGCTTCTCCCTCTGCCTGTGTCTCTGCCTTTCTCACTGTGTGTGTCTCTCATGAACAGATAAATAAAATTAAAAAAAAAAAGTTCTGCACTACGAAAGACATGTCAAGAGAATGAGAAGACAAGCCACAGACTGGGAGAAAATACTTGCAAAAGATATATCTGATAACAGACTATTATGAAGAATATACAAAGAAGTCTTAAAAGTCTACAACAAGAAAATGAATACCTGATTGGAAAATGGGCCAAAGATCTGAACAGACATCTCCCAAAAGAGACCTGCAGAGGGCAAGTAAGCATATGAAGATAGTCAACATCATATGCCATTAAGAAACTGCAAACTAAAACAATGAGATATCATTACACATCTATTAGAATGGCCAAAATCCAACAACATTGACAACACCATCTGGCAATATTATTAATGTCCAATATATTTATATTCTGTGATACAGGAATTCTACTCCTGGAAATATACACAGGAGGAATGAATGCATATATCTACCAAAATATATGTACAAGAATGTTTGAAGCCACTTTATTCTTAATTGTCAAAAACTAGGGCAGCCCGGGAGGCTCAGCGGTTTAGCGCTGCCTTCAGTCCAGGGTCTGATCCTGGAGACCCGGGATCGAGTCCCACATCGGGCTCCCTGCATGGAACCTGCTTCTCCTCTGCCTGTGTCTCTGCCTCTCTCTTTCTGTGTCTCTCATGAATAAATAAATAAAATCTAAAAAAAAAAAAAACTAGACACAACCCAAATGATCATTAAGAGTAGAAAGGATAAATTGTGATGTATTTACACAATGGAATACTACATAGTAATGAAAATGAAGGAACCACAGCTACTTGCAGCATCACAAATTAATCTTAGACATAACATTGAGTGAAAGAGGTCAGGTGTAGGGACGCCTGGGTGGCTCCGGTACGCTTGGGTGGCTCAGAGGTTGAGCTTCTGCCTTTTGCTCAGGGCGTGTCCCTGGAGTCCTGGGATTGAATCCCGCATCGGGCTCCCTGCATGGAGCTTGCTTCTCTTTCTGCCTGTGTCTCTGCCTCTTTCTTTCTGTGTCTCTCATGAATGAATAGATAAAATCTTTTAAAAACAAGAGATTAGGTATAAAGAAGTTACATGCATAGGATTCCATGAATGTGAACTCCCAGTCCAGAAACAGGTTAAATTTCTTTCTCTATAGCAATGGGGCTCAGAATACTGGTGACGTTTAGAGGGAAATATTGACTTTGAGTAACCTTGCTAGATGCTAGAAACATTCCATACTTTGGTCTGGGTGGCAGTTCCATGATATATATACTATGTATACATACATAAAAATCAAGCAGTAAACTTAAAACATGGGCAATTTATTATCTGTAAAAAAAGAAAAATATGGGGATCCCTGGGTGGCTCAGCGGTTTAGCGCCTGCCTTCAGCCCAGGGCGTGATCCTGGAGTCCGGGGATAGAGTACCACATTGGGCTCCCTGCATGGAGCCTGCTTCTGCTTCTGCCTGTGTCTCTGCTTCTCTCTCTCTCTCTCTCTGTCTCTCATGAATAAATAAAATATTTTCTAAAAAAGAAAAATATATCAATTTTTATTTCTTTATCAATTAAAAAAAAGAAAAAATAGGGGTACTTGGGTGGCTCAGTTGGTTAGGCATCCGCCTTCAGCTCTGGTCATGATTCCTGTGGGGTCCTGGGATCCAGGCTGGAACAGGGCTCCCTGCTTAGGGGGGAGCCTGCTTCTCCCTCTCCTTCTCCCTCTCCCCCTTTCTCCTGCCCTCTCTCTGTCTCTCTCAAATAAATAAATAAAACCTTTTAGGAAAAAATAAGGGACAGCAGCTCAGGAAAAAAAAAAAGGAAGACATCTTTATGTCATTATCTTGAATAAACATTAAAAAACAGAACATTTAGGGGCACCTGGGTGGCTCAGTGGTTGAACATCTGCCTTTAGCTCAGGTTGTGACCCCAGGGTCCTGGGATGGAGTCCCAGTGGGGATCCTGCTTCTGCCTCAGCCACTGCCTATGTCTCTGGCTCTCTCTGTGTCTCTCATGAATAAATAAATAAAGTCTTTAAAAACTAATAAAATAAAAAATAAAAGTAAAAAGCAGAACATTTCCAATACACATTAAAGGACACATGTTTGAAAATAATGTTCATCTGTATACCACGAAATAAATTAAATAAATAAATAAATAAAATTACTTCACGTACACAAGGAATTCAAACACTACACTTTGGTTAACGCATTCCAGGCACACTAGGGGTTTGATGTGAGCTGCTGCTGGGATACTGGCAACCTAGAGAAGTGCTGGGGCCAAGTGGAGAGTGTGTAGCTAGGATTATGCCTTGTCACCAGCCTGGCTGGAGTTATGGAAGGCTAAGGCTTTGTGTCAAGGTACAGGGTGGAAAACTGGAAGGGAGGGAAGGTAAATTAGGAGAGGGGGCAAAGAAGAAGGACCAAGGGCAGATTCCCTCAGAGTCTGGCCCATGTCCCAAGTCCTAGACTCTTGACCTCACCAGAGAGACACAATAGATGTAAAACAAGGCAGTTGGTTTCCAAGTGGGAAGAGTGCCAGATGGGTGTTTTTTTTTTTTTTTTTTTTTTGCTGCCCAAGGAATGAAAAATCAATAATAATCATTTTTATGATTCATGTTCATCCTGTTTTATTCCAGAGCACTTTACCGAAAGGCCCCTTGGCCCAGCCAAGAAGCTCAGGGCCAGGAGCCAGGACACCTGGATTCTAGATCTGTGTGTGAAAGACTTAGACCTTTCTTGGGATCCAAGTTTCTCAGTTGTGGCAAGTGACATTGTGGAGCATTCTACCTACAGTTTATATACATCATCTCGGGTGACTCTCCAACCCCTGGGGAAGAAAGCAGAGAACGCAGGTTTGCTATTCTCATTTTATAGACAAGGAAACAGGATCAGCAGATGAGGTTAAGAGATGTGATCAAACACACACTGCTTAAGATGGTGGGGAAGCTGACAAGCTGGGAGCTGTGACTTCTGACTCTAAACCCTTTGCTCTTTCCCAGACAAAACAAGAAAGTCAGGAGGCACCTGGGTGGCTCAGTGGTTGAGCCTTTGGCTCATGTCCTGATCTTAGGGGTCTTGGGATCCAGTCCTGCATGGGGCTCCCCACAGGGAGCCTGCTTCTCCCTCTGCCTATGTCTCTGCCTCTCTCTGTGTCTCTCATGAATAAATAAATAAAATCTTAAAACACACATACGAAAGTCAGTCCGTTTTCTAAGTACAGTGTGAGGTGGTTTGATCCTACACAAAATACTCTGAGTATGCTCCAAGGGCAGAGCTGGATTTGTGCAGACTTGAGCTGTACAATGTGTGTATGTGTGGGTCTTTAACAAAAATAATACCCAACGATGAAATAAAATTAAGAACAGGGCACTACAAGGCCCCGCAAATGAGGGACCATGAGCTGAAGCTCCATTAGCAACAAGGTCAACCGGCCTCTCCTACGTGCCCTGCCCACTCAAAAATCCGGTCGCACCAGATCTTGACAAGGTTTTCCTCCCTGTTTGTAAGACGTGGCAGATGTGGGCTGTGGAAGTCCTGGGAAAGGAATCTCATTTCTCCCAGGAGACAAGAGGAATTACAGCAGCAGGGAGGCCGCTGAGTGAGGATGGAGAAGGCTGTGTGCCAGCGGAGAGTCCAGAGGGGCCGGCGCCCCGGCTGGCCGCGGTGCGGGCAGTCCGCAGAGTCGGTGCGGGAGGCGGGCAGCCCGGGAGCCCCGGAGCCCGGCGCGATGGCGCTGCCCGGGGAGCGGCGGCCCAGACCGCAGGCTCGCCTGTGGGAAGCGGGCGCTCTTCGTCTTCGGGCTCCCTGCGTCCTGACAACCCTGCCTCGGAGGAGGGGAGGCAGAGACCGACGACCGCAGCCGGCAGCCCCGGGAGGGCGGATGGCGGTCCCCGCCCCGGCCTTTCGCCCCCGGAGCCGCAGGACGGCGGATGCCGCAGGCCTGGGCGAAGGCTGCCCCGCGGCGGCTCGGGCGGCGGCGGGCCCGGGTGCCAGGCTACCCTCGCGGCTCCCCGCCGCCGCTGGGGGAGGAGGGGGCACAGCGCCCGCGGCCTGCTTTCCCAGGGCTGGCCGAGCCTTTTTGACAAGCTGATTGCATGGCGGGGATTGGCTGGTCCGGGCGTGACGCCGGTAACAACAAAGGTGGAGTTGGAAGAAATTAGATTAAAGGAGAGGGGAAAAAAAAAAAATTAAAGGGGGAGCTGGCAGGGGACTGGAGGCAGAGACCGAGGGGGAGATGCGCGAAGCGCGGTCTCCTGGCTCCCGCTTCGCCCCGGAAGCCCCTGGCGCAGACCCACCGGGATCACGCTCTCCGCCCCAACCCCGGCCCAACTACCGAAACCGGGGTGGCGGGGGGAGGCTGCTGCTTCTTGAGAAATCCCCCTAATTCCCACCCTGACACCCCTTGCTACGGCCCAGGGGGAGAACTTTTTGATCGGACACCTCGGATCCTAAACCCGGAGGAGGTGAGGGGCGTTGAGAACAACGAGAGGCTCGCTCTAAAACCCGGAAGGCCCTCGCGGGGAGCCGAGATCCGGCAAGGCGGGGTGCTCCCCCGGTTTTTCAATGTGTTGCAAATCTAAGAGCTTCTTACTTTTTTTTTTTTTTTTGTAACACCCCCCCTCCTTTATCCCCCACCCCCTCGCTTTGGCTTCAGGGTTGCAAAAGCAAAGAGCAATAAAAAAAAAAAAAAAAAAAGCCGCGCACACACTCAGACACACACCAGTGGCGACAGGGGAGAGTTGGAAAGACGCAGGAGAGAAGCAGGAGGCAGGAGGCAGCGGGGAGGGAGCAATGGGAGCGGGAAGCAGGCAGGTTCCCTCGCAAATACCCCTCCGGCCCCACGTCGCTTCGCCGGCCCCGGCAGGGGAGCCAGGAACCGGGCTAGCAGATGGAGGAGTGGAGCTCGCTCTAGGCAGCGGGCTTGGCCGGAGAATGGAGGAGCCGCCAAGCGACCGGCTGATTGGAAGAGAAACGCAGAGCGATGGAGGCGGGGGTAGGAGGACGATTTCTCTGCGGGGACTGGCGGCGGCGTATACGCCCGGGTCGGGCGCTGCAGAGCTTGGCTGGCTTTCAACCCGCGCTCGCCGGCTCCAGCCCCGCGCGCCCCCACCCCCAGCCCTCCCGGCGGCTCCGCAGGTGAGTGCGAGCTGGGGGCAAAAAAAAAAAAAAACCCCAAAAGTCTCAACACGCCCGCCCTGCCCCCCCACCAAAAAAAGAAAGAAAAGCATTTTTTTTTCTTTTTCTTTTTTTATTTTCGTGCAGCCCCCATCGCGGTGGGAGGGAAGGGGGTGAGGCTGAGTGGCCCGGAGGAGGCGGAGGGGCCAGGCGAGGCCGGGGTGGCCCGGGAGGCGGCGGCGCCGAGGCGGCTCTGACGGGCGAGCGCTCGGAGCGGCGCTGCGCTGCGCCGAGGCGGGCGGGCGGGCGGGCGGAGCGGGGCGGGCGGAGCGCGGCGCGTGGGGCTCGCCATTAGCCGTCGCTCCGCTTCGCCATCTCGGGCTTTGTCTGGCGACTCGCTGCCCCGGCGTCGGCTGCGGCGGAGCTGCGGCTCCGCTCTTCGGCCCGCCGCACCCCTAGGCGCCCCTGGCCCGCGCTCCCATTCACACGCTCGGTAAGTGAGCCCGGGCTCCGCGGATTTCGGGGGAGAGGGGTTGCTGCGAGTGGCGGCGGCGCCGATCTCCATGCGCCCGGGCAGGCCTGGGGAGCCATGCCGGGCTGGATTGAACCGGCTCCCAGAGCAGCTCCTCCGCCGGACCCCATCGCCCCCTCGCCGTTTCCGGGGTGTAAAGGAGCAAAGGGGATTTTTTTTTTTTTAATTTGCAGGCATGGCATTTTGTACGGGTATTTTTTTTTTTTTTAAGTTTCGTGTGTGTGCTGTTCGGAAGCAAGGGGACCGCGAGGTAGGCGCCGAAGCCTGGCGCCGGGATGGGCGTGCGTGCGCCCCAAGCCGGTGGCCACGCTCCGGGGTTGAGGGTGGGCGCGGAGCGCCCGCTCCAGGAGGCGGGAGAAGGGAGCGGGTGAGGACTGCCGTGGAAACCCGAATCTGAGCTGGGAGGACTTGGGGGGAGAGCTCCGAAGCAGGGCTGCGGGCACCCCCTCAGCCTCCCCGGCCGCCGGGGGGCCCTCCGGGCACCGTCTCAGGCGGCCGCGCCTCGCGCCCTCCCTCCCGCGCCGGCCGAGCCTGCTAGTTCCCCCGCGGGTCTGGCGAGGTCGCTCTCGGCGCCCGCCCGCCCGCCTCGGCTCCGAGCCCCGCCGCCATCCGGGCGGCTGCGTGTCTCCCTGCCCCGGCCCCCCCTCCCCGGCAGCAGCAGCAGCCGCCGCCGCCGCCGCCGCCGCCGCCGCCACCGCCGCCACCACCACCACCACCACCACTACCACCACCCCCCTCCCCTCCTTCCTTCCCTCCGCCTCGGCCGCCCGGGTCCCCCAGCTCCCGCCCCTCCTCCCAGCTGCCCCCCGCGGAGCCCGCCCGGGCAGGCTGTGGGAGGGAGCGGAGCCGGCGAGGCGGGCGGGCTGGCGCTCGCTCCCCGGGGGTCGGTGTGCGCTCTACGGGGAAGGACGCGCTCGCTGCCCCGCTTCTCCCGCCCCCCCTCCCGCTCCTCCTCCTCCCTTCTCCCTCCTCCTCCCCGCTCCGGCGGCGGAGGCTGCGGCGGCGGCGGGGGGTGTGCGAGCTGAGGCCGGGGCCGGCGGGCGGGCGGCGGGCGGGCTGCCTGCAGGCGGAGGGCGCTGTGCTTTGTGCTTTTCGCCGCGAGGAGCAGCAGGCAGCAGCAGCCACAGCCGCCGCCGCCGCCACAGCAGCAGCCGCCGCCCCAGCGCCGCCGCCGCCGCCGCCGCCGCGCCCGGAGGAGGAGCCGCTGCCGCCGCGGGAGGGAGCTGCGGCTGTGCCCGGCCGAGCGGGGGAGGGCGCCGCCGCTCAGAGCCGGGGAGGGAGCCGCCGGAGCGGGAAGCCCCGAGGCCGCGCTGCGCCGGGTAACCGAGGCGGCTGAGGACGCGCGCCGGGGTCGGGGCCGGGCGGCGGGGAGCGAACCGCGGGTGCCGTAGACGCCGGGGGAGACCCGGGCCGCCCTCCAGGCAGGGGACTGGACGAAAGAGGATCAGGGCATTGGAGAGGACGCCGAGAGCCGGGGGAGGGGAGGGCAGGAAGCGAGGCCCGAGCCGAGCCCCGGCCGCGGGCACAGGAGCCCGCGCTTCTCCGAGCCGGCAGGCGCAGTTCTCGCCGGCCGCCGGAGGGGGCGGCGGGGCCGGTGAGCGCTGCGCCCCCGCCTCCCGGCCGCCGTCCTCCCGCCCTCTCCTTGGCTCAGCTCCCCGGAGGCCAGGGCGGGGGCGCCGGCGGGGCTGGGCCGCAAGCTCGGGGGAGGAGGCGGCGGTTCCCGCCGTGGTCGCGCCTCTGCGGCGGGCTCCTCCGTGCGCGTCGGAGTGGCTGGGCGGTGGCGGCGCCTCCGGCCGGGGTGGGTGGCTCGGGGGCGGGGGGCAGGCTAGGCCGCTTCTCTCCGGCTGCTCGCCCGCCCAGGCGGGTGGGGACGGCGTCGGGAGCCCGAGAGGGGGGGCGGCGGGAATCCGGATCCGGTCCCCGGGGGCGGTGCGGCCGCTACGCTCCGGGGCCGGTGGCGGCTGCGCTGCGTCCGGGTCCCCGCCGGGTTGCGGAGGCGGGGGGAACCGGCCGGGGGGAGGCGGGAGGAGGAGACTGTGGCGCGCGCCCGCTTCCGCGGCCGCGCGCGCCCTTTACCCGCCCTTCCTCCTCCCCCGCCCTCCAGCCTGGGGCCTCCCCCGGGCGGGCGCACAGAGGAGGAGGAGATTTTTTTTTTTTTTTTTTTTTTGGCCCGGGTGGGGGAAGGAGGGCGGAGGGCGGGCGCTCGCTGCACGCGGGAGCTGGGAGCAGTCTCTCGCGTGGGCAGGGGAGGGCGCACGCGGCGGAGCCGGGCTGCAGGGGCGCGGGGGGGCCGCACTCCCACACCCACAGACCCTCTAGGTGTACCAGGGTCTTGGCAGGGTCTCCGTCAAAGTGCGGACTTGTGCCCCCCTCCCCCTTGGGGGAGGGAGGAATAGAAAGTCCCTCACCTCGCATCCCGCCTGAGTGGGGACTGGTGTCTCTTCTAAAGGGTGAGGTGGTTTTGACCGCGGGTTGCCCGGCCAGCACGACCCAAGGAGGAGGCTGGACGGCTAAAGAATGAACGGAGAAGCTGACTGCCCCACAGACCTGGAAATGGCCGCCCCCAAAGGCCAAGGTAGGAGCACTTTAACTTACGTCCTCTTTTCCCACATGGCTGTTTGCGGGACCCCCTCTCCTTCGAAAGGGGTTAGACAGTCCCTGTTCTCTGAATCGAGGTGAGGGGGTTATCTTCAGTTTTATGAGTCAAGTTTGGCTAAACCCAAGTTATTTGGCCTTGAGGCTATAAACTATATTTTCCACACTTCATTCTCCCCCTTAGAGAGAGAGGCTTATGAGAGCCTTCATTCTGGGATTCCCATCTGGCCAGAGTTTGCCCTTTCCTCACCCAGAGTCCTGGAATGGGAGGAAGGATGAGCAATGGGGGGGAGGGGGAGAAGGGAGGGATTGGCAAGGCTTTTCAGGTGTTTTATTGTTATTCAGAGGACAAGGTTTTGGGTGAGGCAGGTGGAGACTGGATATTTTGGTGGTTTGAGGCTCCAAGCCATAGGAGGTCCATAACTAGATCCTACCCCTTCCAGGAGGGATCCTGTGCGGATGGGGGCAGGGGGTTGGATGAAGCTGAGCATCTGGCCCTGACAGGGACGCTGAGAGGACTGAGGATTATTGGTCCATGTGACCCACCCTGTGGCAACCTTGACCCTGGTTACCAGATGCAAATGCAAATAAAGAGCCCTTTTGACTCCTAGCCCTGGTTGTTCTCCTAGCTGACCTTCCAGGGTAGCCACCCTCCAGAGAGGCCTGCTGAGGCTAATTCAGTGGCTGGAAATAGCTGGTTCAGACACCCCCACCCCCACCCCCCGCCCCGCTTTTTTTTTTTTTGCCTCCACGGGGAGTTGGACCCAGAAGACAACTCAGAATTCTGGGGGTTCTCCCTGGAGCCAGGGCCCTGAGAACCTTTGCTCATCTGCTTGTCTTGCCTCTCAGCTGCCCCGTATGGTTCTTCCATTTCCATTCCATTTTTCTTACTTGCCCAAAATTGCCCATGTCTCCAATGTTAGTTTCCAGCTGTGCCAGAGAGAAATGTCTGCATGGGTTCTCCTTACTGCCCACACTCCACCCTCAGCCCTTGCACATCCACGGAATCCACCTAGAACTTAAACTTGGCAACACATTTCGACGTGGTCTGCCTCCCTGCTTCCCTCCCCTCTCCTAGTAAGTTAGCTGTTTTCCCACCAGGTCCCAAATCACTGTAGCTTCATTTCTTTCTCTTCCCCACAATAAATGGTAGTCTGTGGCAGCCTGGCATGTTAGAAATGACCATAGTTTTGAAGTAAACCAGACTTGACTTCAAGTCTGGCTTTCTAGGTATGATGCTCTCTGGTCTGGAATACCCGTTCCAATCCACATGGTCACAGTTTTCTCTTGTGACTAGGTCATGTCTTGTCTTTGCCATCACATCAGAGATCCCCAGGGATTTGGGATGCCCAGGGAAAGAAGGATTGAGCACTTAAGGACTGGGGAACAGATTGGGGGGAAGCATGAGCTGGGCCTGATTTGCCTTTCTTGCCCCTCCCCAGACCGCTGGTCCCAGGAAGACATGCTGACTTTGCTGGAATGCATGAAGAACAACCTTCCATCCAATGACAGCTCCAAGTTCAAAACAACCGAGTCACATATGGATTGGGAAAAAGTAGCATTTAAAGACTTTTCTGGAGACATGTGCAAGCTCAAATGGGTGGAGATTTCTAATGAGGTAACTGATCCCCTCCCCCTTCTGCTGCCCCCTTCCTGACACATCTACGTGAACCCCTGCCTCAACCTTCCCGGTGGGGGAGAGGAAACAGAAGTCAATAAACAGGAAGGAAAGAGACCAGGCGAGGTGCTTATGTGGTCGCCCTTGTGCATTGGGGAGGCGGCACGGTTGATAGCACTGGCCTAGAGCTCTCAGTTCTGCCGCTTCCTAGCTGTGTGGCCTTGAATACTTACATCTGGGATCTTCTCTCGCCTGAGCTGTTCTGGGGATTGAATGAGGTGCTGGCATGGACAACACATCGAGGTCAGGTGGTCACCTTGTTGTCGTCCTTTGGTGTGTACGGACTGTCTGGTCCTGTGCCATAGGCGTGGGCCAGTGCCCGGGTGTTGTCTGCGTGTCAGGCACTGAGTCGTGGCTGTTGGCTCCTGCCCCTCCTCGTCTGATAAATTCAGGGTAGTGGAAAGTAGAGGAGACCTGTTGGGAAAGGGGGTAGGCTCTAGGGTGGTGTTTCCCTCTCCTGAACTTCCTCTTGCACTCACCTCCTTTCTTCTCCAGGTGAGGAAGTTCCGAACATTGACAGAATTGATCCTTGATGCTCAGGAACATGTTAAAAATCCTTACAAAGGCAAAAAACTCAAGGTGAGTTTCCAGGAGGAGGAGCATGACGTGTAAGAGAGGAATGGTCCAAAGAACAGATACTGTCTGACCTTCACCGTGTCCTTGACCCTCCTTCCAGAAACACCCGGACTTCCCAAAGAAGCCCCTGACCCCTTATTTCCGCTTCTTCATGGAGAAGCGGGCCAAGTATGCGAAACTCCACCCTGAGATGAGCAACCTGGACCTGACCAAGATTCTGTCCAAGAAATACAAGGAGCTGCCAGAGAAGAAGAAGGTGGGGGGAGGGGGGCAAAGTGGGGAGGAGGGGAAGGGCAGGGAGCAGCTGGTGCAGTGTAGGTCAGCTGTGGGGGGAAGGCATAGAGGGACATCAGGGATGGGGTGGGTCAGCAGAGCAGAGTGCAGGGTCCTGGGCAGCCAGACTCGGTCCCCTCCTCCCACTCCCATACACTGTCAAGTGCAGGCATGGTCGAAGGTGTGACCCGGACTGAAGCAGATGCTCGGACAAGCCCTTTCCCCCCACAGACAGTCCAGTGTTGCCTCATCCAGCTTTACCTCTCTGCTCGCATTCTCACCGTTAGGCTGGCACAGCAGCTCATCCTTGGACAGTTTTCACTGTGATCTCACTTGGTGCGTGCAGTATCCTCATAAAGGGAACCCCCAGAGAAGGGGTTATTCCGGTTGTGTGGGCAAGGAACTGAGGCCCAGGAGGGACTTGCATCCTGGGTCACACAACTAGCAACAGCAGAACAGCACTTGGGTGCTCTTCTCACCGCCATGTCCACACATATTAAGTGGGCTTCCTTCCTCCACGTTCAGCCAAGGATTTGCACCTTGTCCCTTGTGGCCTCGTGCTGCCAAGTGGACCCTCACAGAGGGCAGCAAAGCAGTGGAGGAGCCTGCAGCAGGGCCCCAAGTGAGATGGGGAGAGGAGAGAGATGGACAGCCAGGGTGCTGGACTGTGAGGTGGAGCCAGGGAGAGATGTCGGTGAGGGGCAGTGGGAGAGACAAGAACGCACATTTACTGGAAGAAGAGACAAAGCCTTACGTGGCCAGGTCTCAGGACGTGGCACCGGCTGCCACACCATACATAGCCCTCTGTCTTCCTGGTTTGTGCACTCTGGCTACAGACTCCCGTGCCCTTGGTTCTGTATCCAAAAAGAAGCCAGCTTGGCTGGGTGAAACCAGCTGTCTACACCTGCTGTCCAGGCCAAGCAGGAGTAGGAATTAAGAGTTTTCTTTGGCCGCTCTGATGGGGATGTTGCAGAGCTGACTGTACACACAACACCCAGACTCTCATGGAGAGGGAGGGAGAGGCAGAGGGTCCGAGGACCAGGGAGAGTTAAGAAACTATGTGGTAGAGTGGACAGAGTGCTGGCCTGGGGGACACGAGACTTGGGGTTCTGCTCCTGACTACCACTGAATTGTTCTGTGTGTGACCTTTGGTAAGTTACCTCATTTCTCTGGACATGGTCTTTATCTGAGGTGCAGAGGATAAGCCCAGTCTGCTTGTGCCTTATTCTGAAAGCTGCTGTTCTGTGTGAGGAGGGCTGAGATTAGGCAGAGTAGGCTGGGCTCTGCTCCCCATTTTCTACAAGAACCACAGGGGAAGGTGAAGCTGGTTCCTCCTGTGCCTGGACCCTCTTGTGAAAGGCAGGAGTTGGACTCAGTTGCCATGAGCCTCTGGATGCTTCCACAGCTGACTCTTGTGAATCGGGGGAAAAAGGGAGAAAGGAGAGCTGGACATTGAGCAGTAGTGAGGACAGGAGGTAGATGAAGGAAGGAAGAAAAGAAGAGAGGAATGAAGAGGCAGGAACAAAACGGAAGTAGGCGGGTGATGGCGGGAAGGGAGGCCAGCCCTATAGAAAGAGGTGGAGGAGAAGGAAGAGAAGCCAAGGCAGAGGAGAACCAGTCGGGTGGGGGAAGGGGAGCTCGAGGAGCCTGCCAGCCAGGAGCTTGGAGAAGGGATCAGTTAGGGAAGAAGGTGATGGGAAGGGGTTTGGGATGGGGAAGGCATACGAAGGATAGTCAGGGTTCCAGGGGGACCACTCAGCAGATCGGGAAGAAAATTCAAGTTGAGAGATCTATGAGAATGTCATTCCCGTTGCAAGAATTCACTCTGGGTGCCTTCAACACAGTCTACCCTTGGGCCTTACTTGAAAGCAAGACTCAGCCTGCCCCCGTCCCTGTGAGCCATCTTTGAAGCAACAGACCAACAGTAGCTGCCACAGACCTGAGAGGAGGGAATAATAGGGGCAAGGCCTACACCTCCTCCTAATGTATTGAGGAGAGTTTTGCGGTGTTGGGGAAAGGTGGGGAGGTAAGGTCAGGGGAAGTCCCAGCTGTGTCACTGCTCACTGTGGCTGGGTAATGCTGGGTCCCACTCCTGGGACTCTCCCTATCTTGACAGGAGGGAATAGGACATAGGATGTATTCTGGGAGGCCCCTGTAGCTCCCACTGTGTGGCTCTAAGCTAGCAGTTGGGGCTACGGTTGAGCCCCCCCCCCCCAGCCCAGCCCACTGGAAGGCAGGCCACCATCCCCTGCCAGCTCATGCCACCTTCTATCCACATCACCACCGGGAGGCAAAATAGCTAGCAAGGAGGACTCAGTGGCTTTTGTAGCTCAGGCTTTGGGTCGTGGATGACCCCATCCCCTCCTCCCCCAGATGAAATATATTCAGGACTTCCAGAGAGAGAAACAGGAGTTCGAGCGAAACCTGGCCCGGTTCAGGTAAGGCAGTGGAGCCCAGAGGAGGGCCACAGGGCACTGGGTGTGGCAGGTTAGGGTGATACCAACCAGAGCCTCGAGCTTGCCATCTGTGAGGCATGGAAGATGGATGGGTTATGTGTAGACCCTAGTGGGTCACGCTCAAGGGCAGGGACAGGCAGGTAGCCACTGTCCCACTAGGCCCCAGTTGGTAGGCCTAGGAGCCTTGGTGGGTGGGGCAGCTAGCTGGGGGTCTCCCTGGCAGGATCCCCCTGTACCCGCTGACTATTGCTCCCCATGCCCTGGCTAGGGAGGATCACCCTGACCTAATCCAGAATGCCAAGAAGTCGGACATCCCTGAGAAGCCCAAAACCCCCCAGCAGCTGTGGTACACCCACGAGAAGAAGGTGTATCTCAAAGTGCGGCCAGATGTGAGTGTCCGGCCAGGGGGTAGGGATGGAGGGCACACGGTGGTGGCAAGGGGGGAGCCGCGCCAGGTCGGCCGGGCACGGTGCAGGGGAGCAGGAGAGGAGGCCCCTCCCCAGGGGTGGGCTGCATGGACAGGGCCTGGGCCAGCTGGCGTGCGAGTGTGTGCGTGCGTGCGTGTGTGAGCCTGTCCCCTTGCACCTAGGCGGGATTCCCGCCTCTCTATTTTCCCCTCCTGGCCTGTGGGGGACACTCCTGTGACCTCCTGTGGCCTGAGGGGGTGGGGGCCTCTGTGCCCCCTTCCCCCTTCTCCCCTCCCCCTGCCCCTGGCTGCCTGTGTGTGTCTGACGGCTTTTGGTTTGCAGGCCACTACGAAGGAGGTGAAGGACTCCCTGGGGAAGCAGTGGTCTCAGCTCTCGGACAAAAAGAGGCTGAAATGGATTCATAAGGCCCTGGAGCAGCGGAAGGAGTACGAGGTTAGGCTTCCGCTGCGCTCCTCCCCATCCGGCTCTTCAAGAGCCTCTGCCCTCTGACTCTGTGGCCTCCGCACTCTGCGGGAGGCAGTCATTCCCTGTCCCTTCATTGAGGGAGGGGCCTTCTGGGCCCCTCACCTCTGCCCCTACCTTCCCCGCCCACCCCCCCATGAGATCTCAGGCTAGGGCAGGGCAGGGCACCACGTGTCTCGTGTGACATAGCAGACACACGGCCACCCCCCAGCTTTGCTCCCTGCCTCCCCTCCCCAGCGGCTCTCCCCCCTCCCCAGCCCCCGCTAACCCCACACCCCGTTGCCCTCCATCCCCCCACCTCACTCTGCAGGAGATTATGCGTGACTATATCCAGAAGCACCCCGAGCTGAACATCAGTGAGGAGGGCATCACCAAATCCACCCTCACCAAGGCCGAACGCCAGCTCAAGGACAAGTTTGATGGGCGACCCACCAAGCCACCTCCGTGAGCACTGCCCTGGGGTGGGTGGGTGAGTGGGCACGAGGGCTTCTAGGGAGCTGGGCCATCCAAGGATCTCGGCCAGGTTCTGAAGTTGAGGAAGGCAGGTGCCCTGGACTGCCCTGGTCACTCAGGGGGGTTGCTCTTCTTTTCCTGCTGTTTCTGATAGGAACAGCTACTCGCTGTACTGCGCAGAGCTGATGGCCAACATGAAGGACGTGCCCAGCACTGAGCGCATGGTGCTATGCAGCCAGCAGTGGAAACTGCTCTCCCAGAAGGAGAAGGATGCCTACCACAAGAAGTGTGACCAGGTAGGTTGTGCTAAAGAGGACGTCTGGAGACCCTTGGGGCCTTGGGAGTATCTGACCCCAACTAGGGGTCAGTCAGTGGTCAAACGTGTCTCAAACACCTGCTACAAACTTGGTCTGGTCTGCTAGGTTTAGCATCTGGGCTGATCAAGCCAGATGGCCCCGGGCTGCCTGTCTAGTGTCTATAGAAGGAGATTAGGCCCTGTCCAGGCTCCGAACATTTTGTAGAAGGCTCTTGTCCCTTGAGAACGAGCAGGTATGTGCCCACACTGACCCTGACTCCCCTTCTTTCCTAGAAAAAGAAAGATTATGAGGTGGAGCTTCTCCGTTTCCTAGAGGTGAGTGTTCTCGTCGGTGGGGCATTGGGCAGAGGCCCTGGAATTAAGCAGGGCCCTCTGGACTACCTGGGAGGAGCTGGCTCCCAGGTGCGCAGCCCCATGCCAGGTCTTGTCTCTGGACCAGAGCTTGCCGGAGGAGGAACAGCAGCGGGTCCTGGGGGAGGAGAAGATGTTAAGCATCAACAAGAAGCAAGCCACCAGCCCCGCATCCAAGAAGCCCTCGCAGGAAGGGGGCAAGGTGGGCAGGGGGCACAACGGGCGGTGGTGGGGGAACATGGGGCTCCCTGTCCGCACCCCCATGGACCGACCTCTGTCCACCGACAGGGCGGTTCAGAGAAGCCCAAGCGGCCGGTGTCGGCCATGTTCATCTTCTCTGAAGAGAAGCGGCGGCAGCTGCAGGAGGAGCGGCCCGAGCTCTCGGAGAGCGAGCTGACCCGTCTTCTGGCCCGCATGTGGAACGACTTGTCGGAAAAGAAGAAGGTCAGGCTCCGGTCAGGCTCGGGGGGCTTCTCCCCCAGGGGCGGGCCACACTTCCTCAGCCACGGCCTGCGCCTTAGCCCTCCCTTAGCCCTCCCCTGTGCCTGGGCTCAGGTGCCGAGGGGGCCGCAGCTCCGCAGCCGGGAAGGCGGGAAGGCATCCGCCCCGGGGCCGGCTCCCCGGGGAGCAGAGCCGGTTGGCGGGCTGAGCCCCAGGCTGAGCCCCAGGCGGGGGACATCTGCGCCAGCCCAAGCCTCTGCCGGCCCCGCTCTCCCTGGGGTGGGGGGGGGAGAGCCTCCACTGTGGACGGGGGACGCGCGCCCCCTGGGGGCGGCCGGAAGGCTGACGCCCTGCCGGCCCTCCCGGCCCTCCGCAGGCCAAGTACAAGGCCCGGGAGGCGGCGCTGAAGGCTCAGCCGGAGAGGAAGCCGGGCGGGGACCGCGAGGACCGGGGCAAGCTGCCCGAGTCACCCAAGAGAGCCGAGGAGATCTGGCAGCAGAGCGTCATCGGGGACTACCTGGCCCGCTTCAAGGTGGCAGGGAGCCCGAAAGGGGTTGTTCAGTGGCCTGCCCTCGAGGGCCGGTTCCAGTCCCAGGTGACCCCTCCCATAGCTGATACCTCTGTTTGTCTCCAGAATGACCGGGTGAAGGCCTTGAAAGCCATGGAGATGACCTGGAACAACATGGAGAAGAAAGAGAAACTCATGTGGATTAAGAAGGCAGCCGAAGACCAAAAGCGATACGAGGTGGGAAGAAGGGCTCTGCTGGTCAGCATGGTGGCCCCTAGGGAGCTGAGGGTCAGAGCACCCTTTTGGGCCAGCAGCTGTCCTCAGTGGGTGGGCTGTGGAGCTGGGAGTCCCAGCCTTGGTTGTGTGACCCTGAGCAAATCTGCCAGCTTCCTTCTCTGAGCCTCAGTCACACATCAATCAGTCCATGGGGGCGGTGAGACCAGTCATGTGAGTGTAGTTGTGACAGCACTTCCAAGCAGGGGCGCCTGGCCCAGGTGTGACCTGTTAGGACGTAGCCCCTCTGCTCGGCCTCAGTGTCTAAGGCAACTGATGGCGTGGGGCAGATGGTAGAAATAATTTTGGGTGAGGGGTGGAGTGAGCATGACTCCTTTGAGTGTCCCCACAGAGAGAGCTGAGTGAGATGCGGGCACCCCCAGCTGCTGCAAACTCATCCAAGAAGATGAAGTTCCAAGGAGAACCCAAGAAGCCTCCCATGTGAGTCTAAGGGGGCTAGAACCCACCTTGGCCGCAGGAAGGGTCATGGCTGGATGACTGTAGGGTAGGCGTCCTAACCCTCCCTGTGCCACTCCACCGCCTAGGAACGGTTACCAGAAGTTCTCCCAGGAGCTGCTGTCCAATGGGGAGCTGAACCACCTGCCGCTGAAAGAGCGCATGGTGGAGATTGGCAGCCGCTGGCAGCGCATCTCCCAGAGCCAGAAGGAGCACTACAAAAAATTGGCAGAGGAGCAGCAGAAGCAGTACAAAGTACATCTGGACCTCTGGGTCAAGGTGAGAGGGCTGGGGGCGGGGGTACCTGGGTGGCTCAGTGGTTGGGCATCTGTCTTTGGCTCCGGGTGTGATCTTGGGGTCCTGGGATCAAGTCCTGCATTGGGCTCCCCTCAGGGAGTCTGCTTCTCCCTCTGCCTAGGTCTCTGCCTCTTTCAGTCTCTCACGAATAAATAAATAAAATCTTAAGAAAAAAAAGGTGAGAGGGCTGGGGACCCTTGGAAGGAGAAGGCAGCATCTGCCTGGCCTGCCTCCACGATTCCATTCATTGTTCCATTCATTCGAAGTCCTATGATCGATATCAAAGAAAAGAAACTCAGGTTCAGAAAGATTAAGTAATTTACCCAAGGTTACACAGCTAGTAAATAGAGTAATCCAAGCCAGATTGTCTTGTCCTACCTCCAGCTGGGACCAGAGAGCGTCTCCCAGACTGGTTTGGCCTCAAGCCTCAGAGCTCTTCTTGGGCACCTTGGTTGAGCAGTCAGGTTTATAACGTGGGGAGAGCCACCTCTGTCACCCCCAGCTATCCAGGCAAGTTAGCCAGGGACCCTGGGAGATAGCAGGGTTTGTGTCTAGAGGTTTTGGGGAGCCACAGACTCCCTTATCAGTGACTCTAGGCTTGTTGGGTGGGAGTGATGATACCAGGCTATGATAGTCATTGTAGGGGGCTTCTCTGCTGAGGAAGGCCCTAACTCTGGAGCCTCCCCTTGACTGTAGAACAGTAGGAGGGACATGAAAACCACAGTCCTAATAACAGGGTAGCTTAGAAAAGAATTCAGGGCTTCTTAGGGGTTAGTCCTGGACTGTCTTCGCAGATCCTGGGGGGCACTCTGCAGAGACCCAAGGTATGGGGAGAGTGGCAGGAGTAAAATGGGGTAATGGTATATAAATGCTTAACCCACTGCCTGGCTTTTGGTCAACACACTCCCATCAGCAGTAGTTTGGGTGGCGTTCCAACCTTTACCTCCTTCTCTGTCTCCCAGAGTTTGTCTCCTCAGGACCGTGCAGCGTATAAAGAGTACATCTCCAATGTGAGTGTGGGAGCAGGGTGGTGCTGGGGAAAGGGGGGGGTTTGGGGGTCCACTGTCTGGAACTCCTGGCTTCTCCCTTCGTCTGTGTTCCCCTTCTCTGCAGAAACGTAAGAGCATGACCAAGCTTCGAGGCCCAAACCCCAAATCCAGCAGGACTGCCTTGCAGTCCAAGTCGGTAAGGAGCTCCTCCAAGATGGAGGAGGGGGGTCCTCGGTGTCTGGAGGGGTGTGGCACAGACCACTGACGTGCCTCTGCCCCTCCCAGGAGTCTGAGGAGGATGATGAAGAGGATGAGGAGGATGAGGATGAGGACGAAGAGGAGGAGGATGATGAGAACGGGGATTCCTCTGAGGATGGTGGGGACTCCTCTGAGTCCAGCAGCGAGGACGAGAGTGAGGACGGAGATGAGGTCAGGCAGCAGGGCGTGGTGGGAGGGCAGGGTGGCCCTTACCAGGACTGCCACCTGGTGACCGCATTCTTTGCCCCCCCCCCCCAGAACGAGGAGGATGATGAGGATGAGGACGATGACGAGGACGACGATGAGGATGAGGACAATGAGTCTGAGGGCAGCAGCTCTAGCTCCTCCTCCTCGGGGGACTCCTCGGACTCTGACTCCAACTGAGACTCATCCCACCCAGGGCTCCCCTCCCCAACTGACCACCTTTGTTTCTCCCCCATGTTCTGTCCCCTGCCCCTGGCCTCCCCCACTTTCTTTCTTTTTCTTTTTCTTTTTTCTTTTTAATTCGGTGGGGGAGGGGCTGGAGGAGCCCAGGCCAGGACTCTGCAGCCTCAGAGACATCAGCCCTGGGGGGCCCTCCAGGGAGTGCAACCATCAGACTGAGCCACCACTGGACCGGCCCGGCCCACCCCTCTTCTGCACTTGGGGTTCCGTCATGGACAATGGACCTGGGAGTGGGGTGGGGGGTCCCAAAGAGTTCAGTGAGGCCCTCCACACCTGCAGCCCGACCCATGGGAGGGTGGAAGCTTGGGGAAGACCCTTCCTGTCCTGGAGGGGCTTGCCGACTGGACCCCTGCATTGGAACTGGAGGCAGGGAACACGTGGGGGGAGAGGAGGGCAGGAGCCTCAGAGAGAACAGGCGCCGCCCCATAGCCCTCTCCCCTGCCCTCTGCAGGAAGGAGCTGCCTGGACCCACTCATGGGGGGGAGGGGGCAGAAGTGTTTTTTATATATGTGTATATATTTTTTTTTTTAAGCTCTGAGCTGTCAACGAGACGTTTCCTACCGATCTCGGCTGCCGTCTCTGTTGTCATTTCTGGGAGAGGGAGGGTTTAGGGGGTAGGTTTGGGACTTTTTAAAAACGGTCTTGATGTGAATGGAAAAGTGCGTGCGCGCGAGCGAGCGTGTGTCGCCTGTACATAGCATGGGTGCACCTGTGGATGTGTGCAAAGGCGTGTGTGCATGTGTGTGTGCGCGCGCGTGTGTAAGAGAAGGGAGAGCCCACCTCAGTCTGAATCTGGTGAATGGGTTGGTAAGGGCCAGGGAGATGTTGATCCTGGTGGGAACAGGCTGGGGCAGCCCCTTTCTCCACATTCTCTGCTTTGCCTAATCTCTGATTCAATTGGCGGGGGGCGGGGTGGGGGGGTGTACTGACCACTCTAATGCTTCCTATATATCTGCTTCCCTCTGCCAGGGCCACATGACTCTGAGCCGCCGCTGGTCTCCAGTGGGGCATTGGGAGGGGGACAGACTGGGTGCACCTAAAAGAGCTTTTATTTAGTGGGAAGGACCTTCCCAGTTCATCTGGGAGGTTGCCTGGCCACCTTAGGCTCAGAAACTGGGCTTGGGGAGATAGATGGGAAGCTCTTAACACACACCCCTCCTGCCTTTCCCTGTATCCTCCAGCTCCCCCACACCCCCACCCCATTCCCTTTGATTTCTCAGGTCTGCTCCCTTCCCCGCCCCTCCAAACCCCCAGGTGGGGAAGGGGTCTGCAAAGGCTGCTTTTGCAGCTGTCCTAACCCTTCCTGGCCATCTCCAAATGTCTGGTACCCTAATCCCTAGACCCTTAATAAGCCAAGCCACCTTATCTCTGTGGATTGAAATTTTTCATTTTTTATTAAATTTTGGCTTTTTTTTTTCTTAAAATCATGTTAATGACCTATTTAGTGGGGGCTTTGTGCTTTTCTGCCTCCCCTCTCTGAATGAAAGCCAAGGGATGGGGGAAGAATGGGAATTCCACCCAGGAGGTGGGATGGGAAAGGTAGGTCCCACCCCCAAAGGAAAGCAAACAATCTGCTTTGCCTCGGACGTGGTGCTGGGGGTGGGGAACCTGGGGGGGACACTCCCCTCTCCCACTCTCCTTCCTTTGTCCTGACCCTGACACAGGGGTTCATAGGTTCTATTTCTTCCCCAAGAGCCCCTGCAAAGAACCCCATTTTCCTGTCTGAATGCCCCTACACTGTTGTGTTTTAGTGGAATGTGTTTTCATTTAAAGACAACTTTGAATGGGGCACTTTTTTTTTCGTGTTTTAAAAATCAAAAATTCTTACAGTACGAACAGGGCTGTGGGGAGGGGGGTGTTGGTGCTGTAAGAGGTCACTCTGAGTGCATTTTGGCACTGGGATGGGATGGTTGGAGTGGGAGGACCCCCCCCACTCTCTCCCCTTTTTTTCTAATATTTAAGGAGTGTTTTTGTAGGTTTCAACAACAACCACAACTTGAATTTGTATCATGGGAGGTGGGAGGGAGTGTCTTAGAGGTGTCTGCCTAAGCTTAAGGCCAACTGTAGAAGTTTTGTTTTCCCTCTTTTTGTACAATAAAGTGAAAAACAAAGGTTTGACTGCTGTCTGGTCACTGGACTCAATGAAGGGTGGGGTGCAGGGGTTACCCAATAGGTTCAATAGGGAAAGACTTGAAGCTAGCTTGTTTGCTCCTTCTCTAGAACCATATTTCTTTTCGTGAGGATTCCATAGGCAACCTACTTTCATACTGTTTTGTGCTATTATTGCACTTCCATTTCAGTTTATTCACCTTGGGTTGTCAAACCACTAAGGACTCTCAGAATTTGGGGAACAGATACATTATTTTCTCCCAGAGTGTATTGCCCTGGGAAACTGACGGCAATGGACTCTTAGGGTCAGGGGTTCACCCTGGTCGTGTACGGACTTATCATTGGGAGTTGGGGTGACCCTCCCACCTTGAGCTCTCTGCCTCACCCAAGGTTAGAAATGACTTCCCCTAGCTCCACCCAGGGCTCTTAGGGGAAACAGGCTGGGCTGAGATGACTCGCCCTCTGGGGTTAAGGAAGATAGCCTTCCCTGCACAGGCCTTGGCCAGGTTCCTGGAACTGCCAAGGGCCGGAGACCTAGGCCCCATACCCTTGTGTTCTTGTCCAAACTGCTGGAAAGCTTACTACCCTTCGTGGTCTCCCAATTCATCACATCCCACTTAACCACTTCCCTAGGGTGACTCTAAATTCACCAGCACGTTCATCGTTCCATCCAGTGGACGGTTGTCCATCTCTTGACTTCTTGGTCTATTCTGCTGGCATTGACTCCTCATTCTATCCTAGGCATTTAGGTCATCTTATGAACCTCCAATTATCACCTATAGGTAACTAATCCAAAAGGTGGTATCTACAGAGACCATTCTTCCAAATTGCAAACCTGTGTAGGTTTCTGTGTATTGTCTGAGGTCTCTTGCAGGCAGCTCAAGGCCAAAAACGTCACCCTCTAGTTATTCAAATTAGAAACTAGGATACCAGCTTTCACTTCTCTCCCTCTTAGACCTTCATATTTATTTGCTCACCTGGACCTGTCCATTCTACTTCCTGTATCTCTCCCAAATCTGTCTACCCTTCTCCAATGCTGTCAACCCCATCCGAATCAAGGCCACTACAACTTTTTTGCAAAGACTTCCTAAAACTGACCTTCCTGCTTGCCCTCTTGCCCCTTACAGTCCATTCTGCACACAGCAACCAAAGTCATGTTTTATTTATTTTTTATTTTTTATTTATTTATGATAGTCACATAGAGAGAGAGAGAGAGAGAGAGGCAGAGACACAGGCAGAGGAAGAAGCAGGCTCCATGCACTGGGAGCCCGATGCGGGACTCGATCCCGGGTCTCCAGGATCGTGCCCTGGGCCAAAGGCAGGCGCCAAACTGCTGCGCCACCCAGGGATCCCCAAAGTCATGTTTTAAAAAGAACTCTGGGGGGATCCCTGGGTGGCGCAGCGGTTTGGCGCCTGCCTTTGGCCCAGGGCGCGATCCTGGAGACCCGGGATCGAATCCCACATCGGGCTCCCAGTGCATGGAGCCTGCTTCTCCCTCTGCCTGTGTCTCTGCCTCTCTCTTTCTCTCTCTCTGTGTGACTATCATAAATAAAAAAAATTAAAAAAAAAAATTTAAAAAGAACTCTGGGGCCTCCTGGTGAGCTCAGTTGAAAAGTGTACGACTCTGGATCTTGGGGTCATGAGTTTGAGCCCCACATTGGGTGTAGAGCTTACTTAAATAAACAAAACAAACAAAAAAACTTAAAAAGATAAAAAATTTTATCGCTTCTGTACAACTTACATGACTCTAAAAGGTCTGGCCCCTGCTTCCCATTTCGTACCTTCTCTCACCCTGCTCTTCCTAATCACCCACAATGATCCAGCCAAGTGATCTCTTTTGTTCTTCAAACATGCCTACCACAGGGCCTTTGTACTTGTTCTTTCTGCCCTGAATGCTAATCTCTCAATTCTACCCACAGCTGGTTTTCTCATGCTTCAGGCTTCAGCTCAAATGGCACCTCATACACAGGCCTTCCCTAATAATCCCTTCCTAGTGAGGCCTCCTCCTCTTCCATCTTGTTTTTTTTTTTAAGATTTTATTTATTAATTAATTTGTTCATGAGAGATACACAAAGAGAGAGGCAGAGACATAGGCAGAGGGAGAAGCAGGCTCCCTGTGGGGAGCCTGATGCAGGACTCGATCCCAGGACCCCAGGATCATGCCCTGAGGCGAAGGCAGACTCTCAGGTACTGGGCCACCCAGGCATCCCCTACATCTTGTTTCTGTATTTGTTTACTTGTTTATTGTCTATGTCCTCAAGTAGAAGACACCTTATCTGCTTGTCTACAGTAATCCCAGCACCTAAAATGGCCTGGTATACATTTGACACTCAAGAAACATTTGCTGAATGAGTTACTAAGTACTGCTGACAAGGCCCTGGGGAACCTGTTGCCCCTGCTGGTCTCCGCACCAATTCCAGCTATACTAGCCATCCATGTCTCAAAACATACCACACTCTCTCTCAGGGTCAGTACACATTCTGCCTATACAAGCAACCATTCTCTCTGCCTCTAATGTTCCTCTTCACCTCACTGTCTAGTTTATTTAGGGCCCTCCTTAAAAGATCACTCCTTCGGGACTCCTGGATGGCTCAGCGGTTGAGCATCTGCCTTTGGCTCAGGTCCTGATCCCGGGATCCGGGATGGAGTCCCACATTGGGATCCTTGTGGGGAACCTGCTTCTTCCTCTCCTTGTGTCTCTGCCTCTCTCTGTCATGAATAAATAAAATCTTTTTTTTTTTTTTTAAAAAAAAAGATCATTTCTTCAGTGGTGGTTGGAGGTCTTCTCTGACCCCTTGATTAAAAGATATCCATGTCATTTGTTTCTTCAGCAGCCCGGATACCTTCACACTCATCAGACTTTGCTGGGGTATAAACTCCACTAGGACAAAGTCTGTGTGTCTCTCTGGCTCGCTGCTGTAACCCCAGGGCCTCACCCAGTGCCCAGACTAGCGCAGTCCTTAGTGTTTATTGACTGACTGATGCTAACTGTGGAGACCAGGCATGTTCCCAAAGAGGTCACTGCCACACAGCAGCCCAGGCCAAGGGCCGGATGAATAGAACAATCCACTTGTAAAGGAGTTTGGTGTGAGGATGGCCATGGGTGGGAAAGTGAGGAAGAATTTAGATAAACAGGGAGGAGACAGGAAGGCTTCCTGGGCATGTGTAAATTCCTCAGCGCAGATATACTGGGCATATTCAGAGTCTAAAAAACAGATCAGAATCACTGGAACTGAGAATTCCTGATTCACATTTTGGAGGTTCATGAAGGCCAAGTTCAATGATCTTTGGAGAGTCTCCACCAGCTGGTCCCACAGTACCTACAACATATACCAAACAGAACTTGTCATTCTCTTTATAGTCTCACATCTCTTCCTCAGAGTTCCCCATCTCGGTTAAAGGTGTTTTCAGAGATTCTTTGTCTTTTACCCCATACACCTCAATCAGTAACAAAAATCTACTGACTCAGCATGCCAGAGTAATCTATAAAATCCAAATCTGATCAAACGGTTCACCTTGGGGACTCCTCGTGGTCTATAGGGTTAAAGCCCATATTACTCAGCACACCTTTAGTCCTGTATGGTCTGACCTGCTCACCTCCTGCTGTTTATCCATCCATTCCCATGTTCCAGCCAATTCCCCAAACCGAGCCGTACTCCTGAAGCTTGCTGTTTGGGATGTCTAGTGCCTTCCCAGCCTGCCTTGTCCTAGTTCATGTCCCACTATTAGAAGACTTTACTGACGAACTCTCTTACATCATTTCATCTGTCCTTCTGGGCACCCCATCCTGTGTTCTCTCTTTCTCTTTTTAAAAATATTTTATTTGAGAGAGAGAGCACACAAACAGGAGCCGGGGTGGGGGGTGGGGGGTGGCAGAAGGAAAGGGAGCAGCAGACTCCCCGCTGAGCAGGGATCCTCTATCCCAGAACCTTGGGATCATAACCTGAGCAGAAGTCAGACCCTTAAATGACTGAGCCACCCAGGCGCCCTCTTGTTTTTTATCAGAGTGTTTGGCAATTATTTTCTTACACTTCTGTCTACCCTACAAATTATGAACTTCTTGAGAAAGCACAACTGTCTTATTTCATCTTTGCATCCCAGCACAGAACACTGTAAGAATTCTTAAAGCATGCAATAATAACAGCTACAGTTTATAAAGCACTTAGGCGGAGCTAAGAGCTTCACATGCACTGACCTGTCAGTCCTCACAACCTAACGAGATAGGTACTATCATCATACCCGGTGACAGCAGAGGAAACTGAGGCAACAGTTCATTTGCTCGAGTTCATTTGCCAAGTCCACAGATTCAAATTCAAATCTGACTCCTGTTTTTAACCACTTAGGACTATTGCCTCAATGTTTGCTGAAGACCAAACAGTCAACAACGGTCCCCAAGTGTATGATTGAGGACTTTCCTCGTTTAATCCCATCTTCTAGGGGGAGGGGGCTGTCAGACCCCCGTTCCAACACTGCAGACCCAGAGAATAACCGAGATGGAAGCGCCAGTCTGGGCACTGGTCGCGGCTGGGAAAGGCCTTTTCCTCCCGAAGGCAAAGGGGAACTCGGAGGGCGCGCGACCACGGGGAAGTACTACCCCGGGGAGTAGCGCGGGGTCGGGGGAAGGGTCTGGCTGGGGCCAGGCAGGCTGTCCGAGAGGTGGGGGGTCCAGCGTGGGTTCCGGAAGCAGGAAAGCCGAGCAGGTGTGGGATCTAAATTAGGCTGAGGGCGGGGAGGGCGCTCGGCTCAGAAGGACAGAGGTCGGCCTCCGCCCTCAGCCGAGGACCCTCATCTCGGGCGTTCGTTGGCTCGCAGGCCTGCAGTGGGCTGAGACCCGCCCAGAAACAGGGGATCGGAGGCTGGGACGAGCCCCTCTGGCTCCATAGATTTCCTGCCTTGAGGTGCTAACAGAGCCCCACTTCAACTCCGGCCTCTTCCGAGAAGTGGCTGCACGCTACGGGGTAAATGCCGGCGTTGGGGCGCCGGGGGGCGGGAGGAGGTGTGTGTGTGTG